TAAATAATAATAATAACAATAATAGTAATAGTGATAATAATAATAATATTGGCCAGCACGACGGGCGGATCCGCAGCCGAGTGCCGGAGTGCATGACGTGGTGCATGCGTGCATGCCGTCGGAATTCCGCGCGAGCCGCAGACGACCGCGTTCCTCCAATCGGTGGCAGTTACGTCACGCGGCAAATATGTTTTCACGCGTGGTGGTCAATGGTCTTCGGTCACGAACCCACGACGACCACTGCTTCAACTTGCTAGTAGTAATCTACTATCTAGTAATGTAGCTTACTAGTTACTAACGTGAGGCGTGAGTTGTTGTCCAGTTATCCAGTGCCCACGAGGGTAGTCTATTCGGTGGTCACTATAGCAGGAATGCAGAATGCACGACAAAGTTGTAACTTGTACTTTGTAGTACCTACATACAATAGTACAKTACAGTACACAATATGTTACTCGCTTAAAATCTTATACTTGACCTCTATTTGCTATTATAATTATATACATATAATGTATATAAATATAATAATATATAAGCAATAATACTTAAATATATATTATTATGCTTATGTATAGATTCRTAAGAATTATTTTTGGTAAATTCATATTATGTCAAATAAATTTAAAAAAAATCAATTAGTTTGACGGGCACTGGTTCGAAAGCTAAGCGGGCCGTAGGTTGGTGACCCCTGTCCCTGTGGGCTGTGCTATAAGTATTATAATGTATTATATTTTTAATATCATGATTCGTGAACTTTGGTTAAAAACTTATAAATCATAACCCAGACCAGGGGTAGCAAACCTTTTGCGCGCTACATGCCAAAAATTATCTTCTTTTTTTCGAATGTGCCACGAAAAATATTTTATGTTCAATATTGTAAAAAAAAAAATTTGTAATTTGATTGTATAATTAATGTATTAGTATAAAAATGATTAATTTAAGTACATACAATTTTATTATAAATAATATAACTTTGTTAATTTTTTGTGGTGAATTGATGAGTGATGACCGATATTGTTCTAAGTTCCCAAAATATGGACATATATAATATACCTATATAGTACCTAATAGTATTGTGTGTGTACGTCGTATGCGACCGATCCTTAATGTATGTAAAATATAAACAAAATATCCGGGTGATGACGTTATAAGTTAAAATATACTCATCATAATATGAGGTATTAACTGGTTCTGAGACCTGGTTGCATAGGATAGGATAAATAACTTMTATGTAGTTATTATGTTGTTAATGATTGTGTATTTGTAGGCTGAATTATTTTAGTAAAATTTCTTGTGGGAAGAGAGGCTGACTTGCCAAATTATTTTACACCTATTCTTCGCCAATGACGTTGGCTTGGCTGTCATTGTCTTAATTACACTGTCTCAAGACACCTCCTCTAATAACTTATATTATAGTCCGTATATTACCTATATAATATTTTATATTATTCATAGGTACGTGCTGTTCAAGGTATCCTACTAGATGCACTGTTGTATTACTGTTATCAGGATTTCCATAAGGGAGGGGGGTCAGAAAGACCCATGGTACTGGAGCTCAGTGTTCATGCAAATAATTACTTCAATAAAATATATTAGAAAATTGTTTTAAGGTTAGTTGTTATTTAAGAGGTGCCAGGATTTATACGATTTAGTTCTGTACCAGGGCCAAAAATACGATGGCTGTATTRCCTGTATTATATAAKAATATTACATACCTTTAATTAAATTATAGATGACACGGTAGCGTACACGTCATCATAAATCATCATATGTTGGTGAAAAATAACTCAGAAAAAAATTTTACGGAAATAAAAGTCCATGTGATTCTTATGTATTTTTAGGATAATTTAATAGGATAAATTATATATATATAATTACCTATCATTTCTTAATTCATTAAGGTCGTAAAAAGTACTATGACTTCCTGACTTCCATCTATATATCTAACTGCAGGAAAAAATTAAAACGAAAAATAAAATAAAAGATGTATCATCATATCATTTACATTAATTTATTGTGTGGTATTATTGGTCCCATAACCCATTGGCGGTTTAAACTGCAGGTTTGTCTACGGTTCATTTATTAACAGAATAGAATATATTAAGGCTTTTTAGCTATATAAGGCTATAACAGTAGATAAGTATAAACTATAAGTAATGGCATTATGGCAATAAGTTATACCTAACTATTATTTATTAGGTATTACCTATATAAAACATTCAAATTTCAAATATGAAATATTAGTTATATTACCAAGTACCATTATTGATATTATTATATTACACATATTAGATTTATAGCCAGAAGCCCAGAAATAACGATCGTTATTCGTTAATCTTAAACTTAATATATTGCATTCTTTTAAAATTTATCATTTCCATTGTGGTATGTATTATTTCGTAGTTGCTAAGTTGGTAATATTACAATTGACACGACTGCCGATTATCTTTCACTTTTGCTATCACTTCCTTTACCCAATATCCCATGTTTTTCCAGGAATCAAGTAATTTTCCCGAAATGTCATTGTATTTTATAGCATGGTCTTCTAAGAGMATGTATAATATAATATGTAGTATTATGAAGATCTAAGATTTTTCCCCACTGACTAGAAATTGTACAAACATTTATAAGAGCGGGCTTTTCTCATATGAGGATTTCCTTATCAATGACTGGGTGACTGGGTCAATTGATTGCTAATTTCAAACACTTCCTGGCTACACTGGCATGCCGGGAGAACTTGTATGTTCCCCCCACGGCTGTAGATAGGATGGTTGCCATCACGATTTAAGATATACTTATCTAAAATATATCTTAAATCGTGGTTGCCACAGATAAGACCGTGCCACAGATAATATATAAAAATACTAGATAGCCGACTTCTATAGTTAGTACCCTAGAACAATAATTGTTATATTCTGTGATAGTACCCTGATCGTACCTAACCACTCTTATCAACTTTCGGACAACTGCTTATCAATCTGAATTTTTTTGCAGTTTTTTTGCTGTTCTTATATATTTAGTTGAATTAATCCTATAACCAATTATTCCAATGATATTTGTTCCATAGGATATATGCTACAAAAACATTTGTTCCTATATTCTCTTTATCAAATTAAATTTGTTCCAATAAGTTTTTGGGCTTTTGGAACAAATGTCTATTGGAACTAAATATTGTTGAACATGTAATACAGTCATTATTAAGAATTTTGAGTTGGTAGAAATGCAATCCGAACGAGAACGAAATTGAACGGATGAACGACTTTTTATTATTTCACGATCCGGATTGTTTTTTGTTTCGTTCACAGGTTTGACCCGTTCATTTTGATCCGTTCGTTCGCGACTTCGCGTACGACACATCTCTAATTATGCCTAAAGTTCGAAGGAGCCGAAAACCGCCTCCGGATGGGTGGGAACTTATAGAACCAACGCTAGAAGAATTGGAGCAAAAAATGAGAGAAGGTAGGTATGAAAGGATTGTGGTTTCTCTAATATTACTTGATTGTTAAGATACTATTTCACCACTTATGTTTTCCATGTAGACCGATACAAATAATATAAATAAACAACATTATAATCAGATATAGATCTACTTATTCTAAAAAGAATGCAATTTTTAATGTTTTTAAAATGTGTGATGAATAAGATTCATAATTTTCATAGACATGCACAGCATACATTTTTAACCAGTCCAAAATTAATATGTTGCCAATGTTTTTGCCTTATCACGGGTTGGATCATATTAGTAAAAGGTATGAATTTGTATGATGATTTTCTCGTATATAATTTTAATTATTTAATAGAAAAAAATGTTATTTAGTGTTAATATTGGTACAAATGGGTCATGTGTATCTTATTGGTATGTAGATGGTTGTGTCTGTGTGTGTGTAAGTCCAAAACGTAAATTTGTCTGCAAGTATAAAACCCACACTTATCTTTAACTTCTTGAATTTAAAATAATTTTATYATTTTTCTTGATCAACCATTCATTTTGAAAATTCATCTTTGAATTTAATTTTAAATTAAATATTATTCAATAACATTGAATTATTCATAGGTGATTGCATGCCTTTTAAATAAATAGTTATTCACCAGCCCTTTGAGTCCAAAATAAATCGTTAGGTGCAGAAAAAAAGCATCATTAGCTGCATCTATGCTCATGCGTATCTTAAGGTTTAAATCATTTTGTACTAAATTTTGCTAAGTACCTATATGTATAAAATATAAATAATATGTTGTTATAATTACAGACATGTTTTAACTTTGGTTTCAGGTACTGTATGGAATCAAAGTATTTCCTTATTTTTAACATTTTTGACTTGAAATTTTAGACTGAAAAATTTTGGTTTAGAATAATAATTAATCATTAATAGTATTTATTTGCTGTAGGAATATTGTAAAAATTAGTTATATTTAAATTAAAATTATATTTTGTGATTTTTAGCTGAAACTGAATCTCATGAAGGCAAACGTAAAGTAGAAGCATTGTGGCCAATTTTCAAAATTCATAACCAAAAATCAAGATATATTTATGATTTGTTTCATAGACGTAAAGCTATTTCTAGAGGTTTGTTTACACTACAATATTAGTTTTGACTAAAAYTGTAATTTATAGTTATTATTATAATTTGGTAGGTTTATTTTAAATCCTAATTGCATGATGAAATGTAATGAAAATATAATTCAATATTTTTAGAATGGTGCAATTCATGGTTTTCATTTGTGGTTTTAATATTACAGTTGCAAAACATGTAMTTACATCCAAATTTTGGTAGCGGTGTCGTATGCTATCTACACAAAAAATGTTATCTACAAATTGCAAGGTTGTCCCTGGCTCAATTTCTATTTTAATAATTGGAAGCAAAGTGGCGTGGTCTCTTTTTTGAACGATTAATAATCAATGTTCTACTATATTGTCACGGCTAAAACACATTCCAAACACCCACAGCACCTGTACGTGTCACAAATTGTCCATCGGAATCTCGTTTATGGCTATTTTTATAACATTCCTTGAAAACCGCCACCACACACTTCATCGCTAACATTATTGATTTTTTCCCAAAATTTGTCGTTAGGTAATACACCTTTTTGTTTTAAAAAATGCACACAAGTATCATCAGTATAAATAATATGTCTATATAAATCWCTAATGAAGTCATTTTGAACATAATACAAATGACAAACACATGCAAATAATTCACAGACACTACTAATCGTTAAAAACCCTTGGGATTTAACTTTGTAGAGTGTAGATAAATATTATTACGATTATATAGATAACATCAGATGATAAATAGTATTTGTAGATAGTATACGACACCGCTACCCAAATTTTTTTCAGAATAAAAAGTATCGCTTATAGAATGGGTTTTAAATAAAATAATTAAGACATACTATAGATGCAGAATAACATTAATATCTAATTAGAAAAAACTTCTAATACAATTTAAAGTTGAAAAAATTATAACTACTAAATTATTGTTATTTATGTTAAATTATAATTTTTTTTTTTTTACTTCCTTCTGTTCGATTAACAAATAATTAAAATCAACTATTTAATTACATTTTATTTAATWATTAAAAATACTATAACTTGTATTTGTCATTAGATATATCTAATATTTTTAATATAAAATTATAAAAGTATAGGTATAGTTTAAATTATTATTTAATTTTTTTGTTATAGAATTGTATGATTTTTGCTTGCAAGAAAAAATTGCTGATCAAAATTTAATAGCAAAATGGAAAAAACAAGGTTATGAAAATCTATGTTGCCTCCGTTGTATTCAAACTAGAGATACAAATTTTGGAACTAGCTGTATATGCAGAGTCCCAAAATCTAAACTAGAAGAAGTAATTGCTTATTACTTTATTAGTTTAATATGTTCAAATATTAGTTTTAGAATCAACATTATTCACTTATGTATTATATTTTTCAGGGTCGAATTGTGGAATGTGTGCATTGTGGATGTAGAGGTTGTTCCGGCTAAATAAACACAATATACTAGTTATATGATTATTGTATTAATTATATTCTTAATATGTGTAAAGAATTTATTTCTATATTAATAAGTGTGCAGTATAAGACTGAAATTAAAACAGCATACTAACTGAAAACTCTATAAATTAGACATTTTTAATTTCTATAATGATTATGTTAAGTACAAWCTGCATTGGTTTTTATGATAAAAATTTTTGATAACAAATATTGATCTTTCTTACTATTATTTCAATTAAGAATTTATTTTGACATTGCATGCAATCAAAATATTTATTTTGGTAGTTATATATTTTACCAAACAATTGTTCCTTCTCGTAAAAATAGTAAAGGTACTATTTAAGTAATTTCAAGTATTGGACTTTAATATGACAACGGCAATGAGTGCTTCTAATTTGCATTAAGTGCCGCACATTCGGGAGCATCACTATATTATTACAACTATAATTATGTAATATACAGATATAATAACAATTATTGTAAAATCGGAAAATTTGAATAAAAATGTGTAGACATGCATTGTACGTTGTACACCAAAATCAAGCACACCCATGTCAGACTTCTAAGATTACAATCATATTACTATTAGGTCTAATAGTATTATTTCCATAGTTTAAATACAGCTGGTGATWGGATAAGATAAAACAAGCATTTCTGTGAGTGTTCACTGTTCAGATTTATAAATACATTTTAAATAAGATTAAAAAATATCAAAAATTATTTAATGTCGTTATTTTGTAAATTATAATGTTAAATTAAAATATTTTGATTGATTAAATCTTGAAAGATTTTGGGCCAATCAATGAATGTTTTGATCTTAGTGATTTTACAATTATGCATATTTATTTTGTGTGTATAAAAATAAATTTAAAATCCAATAATTCATTATGGTTATTAGTTACTATTTATACCTACCAACCTACCCAACTTGATTGATTTAAGTCAGGAAAATTAATTTATTAAATAATACAAATCAATTAAAAAGTATATTAAACATATTTTTAATTAATTAATAATTACTTTGGTGGTTTCACAAATTTCCATAAAAGTATGCCATAACCATTTGTGTTGAAAATTAAAAATTGTTATTTAGTGGGCATTTCGGAAGCTTTTATTTAAATTTTAAGAAGTCATTTTTTGACCATTTTGAAATGATTATAACTTACTTTTTAATACCTAATAATATCAATTAAATCAGAAGATTTAATCTAAAAGAAATGTTCTAGATATTAATCTAAGTAAATTTTGTACTTGTATTGATGTCCTGAATAGGAAGGTATTTTTAAACAAGTAATTTGATGTATTGATTTAAGTTTAAATTGCTGATTTTGTTTAAAGTGAATAGAAATCTAGGTTTTACTTTGGAAAGTTTTTGCTTTTTAATTAGGACCAAGGTTATTAATAGTTTACAAGTGTAACCAATATGGCGACTTATCGATTAGGTACTGACTTTCACTCAAACTTATTGTTTACATTTTTGCAAATTTAGTAGTTATCATGAGAGTATTTTTTATTAAATTCAATTGTTGGGATTAAATAAAAGTGAACTATTATAGACATCCTAACAGTGTCAAGAGGTGTACCTAATTAATGTGACTATATATCTACTGGGAATGGAAAATATAATCAACAAATCAACAATACACCATCTGACAAACTATTACTATTTAGTGTTTTATAATATAAGTCTATCCTAACTCTAGGATAGACTCAAAATTATATTATTCTAAATTGTATTAATTGTAATGCCATACTCAAACTAATATTTAAAAAATTATTATTATTCTTAAGACATGCAAAATACAAATATCATGATTAGGTACCTTAAACTCAAAATCATATTATTTTATGATTTAACCACCTATTCTCTTGTTTACTATTAATATTATTTTATTTTAGTTTTCATTAATTTAACTGTACAATGGCTATAAGTTGCACCGACTTGGGCTTAGGGTCAACATGCGGCTTATAGGCCATSAGTTAAGTGCTCCTTGATTCATGGGTGGTAACTAGTGCAAAGGTAGTAAAATACTAGAAATTTCACCATGTAGTATACACTAATACTCGCAAAAAAATCAGTTAGTAACTAACTAATAAGTAAGGCTCGGATTTATATGTAAATACATATTTTTACTGTGACTTGATAAATTAATTTAGGTAAATGATAAATTCGTTTCAAGGGATTTCCATTGTAATGAACTATATTTTATTTT